GCTGAGATTCCTGACTGCAGAGTGTCAGACATTTTGGAACATGTGAGAGGACACTTACAGATCAGCTTTGTGTATGGGTGTGTGAGAGATGACTTTCCTTAACATTTAGTTCACATGTAAAGCTCCTGAGGAGACGGTGGGCAAAAGTTTGGTTACCTAATCATTGTGTCACAAATGAGATGGTGGCAAAGCCAATAAGCGAGGTTGTCAACATAGTAAAAACATGAGTGGTATGGGGGAGATTTTGTGGCTTCCTTCACAGTGTCTGTCAGGGGAGGGTAGGTGGATCAGGAGGGGAAATGCTCAGTTTGCTTCACTGAGGATAGAATGCTTTTGTCATGTTTATTATGGCTATGAGTTGATATGAATTGGAGGGATGCAGCTGATGAAGCATTCTGCTGCCAACTTGCACATCATTGGGTATTGCTGCATGATGTTTGCTTAATAGTCAGAGACAAAAAAGGCATTGGCATACTGATGCATTACTAAAATAGGGTGGTGTGAACTTTTGCATCAAACAGTGAACACATTAATATTGAAGGGAAAACAGTCACATGCAATGTATTAGCCAGCAGTATACTTATGATCCATACAGCAGTATTCCAGGACTATATTGGGGCTAATACATGGGTGATGCTTTTTGGTGTGCTTTTGTGGGCAGAGCTCAGGAAGAACTGTGCCTGAGGTGATCTCCTTTAGGACAAGGCAATCTCCAATCAGGAGTTAGCTTTTGGAGGGTATGCTGTGGTGTGAAAGAGAAAGAGGGTTTTGAAATCAACCATTCAGTGAAATAAATATTTGATTCTCAGAACAATTATTTGCCTTTACCTGTTGCTTATAAATATAATTAAGTCAATTCACACACTTTCAATAAATCTCTGCATGTCTTGACAGAAACCAAACCAACTCTGATCCATGTTACTGTTTAGTGTCCATCATAGTTTTTTAAAAAAGTTATAAAATAGCGTGGTTCATACATTTGAATGGGAAGCTTTTCTGCAACAACAGCCAATGATATCATGAAGTAGCTGTTAATGCAATGGGAAATTTCCATTGCTGTCAGTGATCAGGATCATTGTGATGTGCAAGACAGCCATACTCCACCTCAGGAAGATTAGTAACACCATTTCTGGTATGGGGAATTAAATAAATTTGAAACAAGAGGGAGAGTGAGACAAATGAAATTACTGTGTTAGGAACAAATATGAATAAAGAAGCTAGCTGCAGAACAAAGTAGATGTTAAAATAGTTATACAGACTGGCAGAAACAAGAAATGGTGTTTTACAAAGGTCTTCACTAAGACCTGTTACCACTTACATGAATGATTTGGGTCAAGGACATATAAATGTAAAATTTACAAAATTGGATTTAGTTGTTTCAGTGGATGGCTGTGATTTTAAAAAACGTAATTCAACAACCGGTAGATCACGTTTAACACTATAGTGATCTTCTGCTTCACCTTACTAATTATAAAGCAAAATTTGACACGTGGTGTGAAGGTGAACTTAAAGCAGGTGACCAAAAACCTGATGAAGGAGATAGGTAGAGGTAGAAGGAACTGCAGATGCTGGTGAATCCGAGACAACAAGGTGCAAGGCTGGATGAACACAGCAGGTCAAGCAGCATCATAGGAGCAGAGAGGCTGACGTTTCGGGCTACGCTCGGTTCGCAATAAACAACTGCACCTCCCAGTCGCGAACCATTTCAACTCCCCCTCCCATTCCTCAGACGACATGTCCATCCTGGGCCTCCTGCAGTGCCACAACGATGCCACCCGAAGGTTGCAGGAACAGCAACTCCTATTCCGCTTGGGAACCCTGCAGCCCAATGGTATCAATGTGGATTTCACAAGCTTCAAAATCTCCCCTCCCCCTACCGCATCCCAAAACCAG